CTGAGTGCTGAGATTAAAGGTATGTGCCAATGTGCCTGGCCTGGTTTTTTTTTTTTATTACATTTATTTATGTGTGTGTGGAGGGCAGAGGACTGAATGACACTCAGAGCATGGACCTTCAGGCTCTGATTCAGGAAAGGCGACACCCCAAATCACTCACGAGAAGCAGTCTTGATGCAAACTGCAAGAGGACTTTTTATCCCAAGTGCACTGGGGTCCACAGTCATGCGCCACACAAGGGTAGAGGACTGAGAACCCTGAGTGCAGAATTGAGACAGATTTTATAGGGTTTACAACAAAGCCTGAGCATCACAAACTAATCATCTCAATGCATCAAGAGGCCACGCAGTGCGGGCCAATCAAATTAAACCATTTTATAGTTTTTAGACCAATCATTTTAAATCATCCAAGCCTGTGCTTTATAGACCAATCAGTTTTCTATAGCCCTGGAGATCTGCATTTGTGTGGGCTCCTACATGGGGTGACAAATGGCAGTTAGGATAGGTCACTGGGGCCAGGGTTTCACAAGCAGTCTACAAAGTCAGGTAAGCGGAAAGGAGTATGACCTTTCACCTATTTACTGGCAGAGGACAGTGTCTGGAGTTTGAGGTTTTTAGGGCTTTTTAGGTAGTATTTCTAAATGTTTAGCTTCCTGGGGTCATTGGAGAGTTAGGCAGTATTTTCCATCCTTTCAGTACAACTTGGTGGAGTTTGATCTCTCCTTCTATTATGTGGGCCCCAGGGATCTAACTCAAGTTGTCTGGCTTCACAGAAAAGGACTTAACCTGCTCAGTGGTCTTGCTGGCTTGTTTGTTTGTAGATGGGGTCTGAACTTCATTATGCATTATGTGGGCAAGGATAACCTTGAAGTTCTGATCCTGCTGCCTCAAGTAACAAGCTTATGCCCAGTCAGTTTTCTCGGTACTGGGGGTGGAGCCCAGATATGTGCGTGACCATCCCAGCTCACTCCAGCACTGCTCCAATTCAGAATGAAGCCTGGATGTCTTCCTGCTGTGGCTTCTCTGAGGCACTATTTCATTAGCCATCCATGTGCGGTGGATCACATGAAGGTATTAGGTTCAAACTGGCTGTGTAGCCAGTTTGAAGCTGCTATAGCCAGTTTGAACCTGCTAGAGCTTCATATAAAGAGACTGTCCCAAGAGACAAAATTTTAAAACCAGGAAGGGATAGCTGGTCAAAGGGGCTTCTCACCCAGCTGAGCACCTGGGTTCCAAGTCCAACACAAACATGCTGGAAGAGACAACCAACTCCTACAAATTGACCTCTGATCTCTACACCACTCAACATACATTACACACTTGTACACAGACATGATACTAGTCATAAATTTTTAAAAGGGGCTACTGCCTGGGCTAGATGGCTCACATCTTCAATTTCTACACTAGCAAGACAGAGCAGGCCCATTTTTAGAGCTAGCCTGGTCTTCATAATGATATCCAGGCCAGTCAGGGAGTTGTGTGGCTCTGGCTCACAAAATAAATCTTCAGACACATGTAATACAAAAAGCAAATGACCCAGAGACTGCTACTCAGGTTCAAACTACAAGCTGAATACCAGAAAAGCAAAGCAGCCAGGCACTAGCTCTTACCTCTAGCTCAGGCTGAAAGGGATGATAAAGGCATACAAGCTCTTCACCAAGTCTCAAACTGCTGCCTCTCCTCAGTGTGTCTGGAGAACAAATGCCCCTCTGATACCTTGCTTCTGCCTTATATACTTCCCTAATGTTGGGATTAGAGGTGTGAGCTGTCATTCTCTTTGACTGATTCACTCTTGTGTAGACCTGGATGGCCTTGCACTCACAGAGATCCCTCTACTCTTACTCCTGAGTCCTAGGATTAAAGGTGTGTGTCACCACCTCCTACCTTGTGGCTGCTGGGATTAAAAGTGTGAGCCTGACTTCTGTGGCTTGTAGTTAACTTTGCTTTCTGAATCTTCAGGCAAGCTTTAATAAATCACAAATAGTTTATCACCACCAACACAAATTCCAAAAGGCTCAAACAACAAAGGGGAAATTTTGGCTCATGTAACAGAAAATGCTAGATGTGGTGGAGCAGACCTGTAATCCAGTTCTTGGGAGGCTGAGGCTGGAGGGTTGTGAATTTGAGACCAGTGAGAGCTGGTGGTCCCAGGCTCTGTAAGAAGACCCTGTTTCACAAACAAAAGCCATAACATACAACAACCTTGGATTCAGACATGGCTTCATCAAGAACTGTGTGGACCTCAGAATCCTATGGCATTTCCCAGGTGGCTTGGAGGGAGGGCTTCTGGCTGAGTGTGAAATCCTGGGCATGACTGGGGGTACATGTCCATAGGCAAGATGTCCACATAGCTGACTGTGTTGTCTCTGTGACCCTGTCATTATTTAAGAGTCTATGTGGATATTTGTGTGAGGCAATTCACAGTGACTTTGGTGCTTTGGGTGGCTGTCCCTGCTTCCTACCACTGATGTACAAACATGAAACACCTGGTCTTTTTGTGAATGTGGGATTCAAACTCACATCATTGTGTTCTAGGAGCAACTACTTTGTTGTCTGAGCCATCTTGGTCTCACTTGTGGTCTGGTCCAGTTTGTTCCAGTGTGCTGGAGTTTTATGTCAGCATTGACACAAGCTAAAATAATCTGAGAGGAGGGAACTTCAACTGAGAAAATGCCTCCATAAAATCAGATTGTAGGCAAGAATGTAGGGCATTTCTTAATTAGTTATTGATGAGAGAGGGCCCAGCACATGGTAGGTGTTGCCATCCCTGGGCTGGTGGTCCTGGGTTCTAGAAGAAAGAAGGCTGAGCAAACTGCTTCTGCATTAGCTTTGGCCTCCAGGTCCTGGTCTGGTTTTGTTCAGACCAGTTTGGTTGTGTTGTCTTTTTCAGATATGGTCTCACTATGTAGTCTGGCTAGCCTGGAAATTTCAATGAACACAAGGCTGCCCTCTAACTCCCAAGTGCTGGAATTAAATAAAGGCTTAAGATTTCACTCCCAGCCTCTCAGGCCTATTTATTTTTCAAAGTCTGCTTATCACCTCCTGACTCAAGGCCTGGGCTGTAGAATCTATCTAGAACCTAGTGGCCTCTCCTTTGGGCTTCAGTCTTGCTCATGTACAGGCCATGCTCATGGATTCTGTTTCATGGTGTGTAGACCTAAGTGACCTAGGCCAATAAGCCAACCCCCTGCCTCCTGCCCTGCATATCCCAGGAGCTAAGCTGGAGGGCAGAGCCAAGAAGGGCAGGTCAGAAGGTCACAGAGGGCCCAGGAGATCCTTCCAGTACCATCCTGCTCCAGGACAAGGTGTCATTACTGAACTGCGGAACTTGAGTGGAAGGGGAGGGCTGAGCTTAGGAACCCATTTTTTAAAACTTTGTTTTTACATTGACTTGTTAGAGGTTCTTAATCTTCCTAATGCTGCAACCCTTATGGCAACCTCCACTATAAAATTTGTTGTTACTTCATATCTGTAATTTTGCTGTTATGAATCATAATATAAATGTCTGTTTTCGGGTAATCTCAGGTGACCCCTGTGATAGGACCCTTTGGCCCCCAAAGGGGTCACCACAGGTTTAAAATTACTGGCTTATGTATGGGGGAGGGAACATGGTGATGGTACCTATGGAAGACAAGTTGTGGGGTCAGTTTTCTCTTCCCACCATGTGAGTTACCTCAGAGTAGCAAGCACCTTTACCCACTGGCTGAGCCATCTTGCCTGCCCTAGGGGACCCCCCCCCTTAATAACTAAAAATGCACGCCTTTAGTCCCAGCACTCAGGAAGTAGAGGCAGCTGGATCTCTGTGAGTTTGAGGCCAGCCTGGTCTACAGAGTGAGTTCCAGGACAGCCAGGACTACACAGAGAAACCCTGCCTCAGAAATAAAACAAAAATACACACAACTAAAAGTTGTGTGTATATAATATTCATATAGGTGCACATGTGTGAGTTCCAGGGTATACTTGCCTGTCCCCTTAAAAAGCCATGAGGACATTAGGTGTCCCCTTTGAGGCCTGAACCCAGGACTGGACTTCTAGGCTGGACTGACTGCCAGGGACCCTCTACCAGAGCTGGATTAATGGGGTGTGCAGGACACATGCTTGCTGCCAGGGTGCTGGAGGCTGAACTCTAGAGTCACAGGACCCATGACCATCATCATGCCCTCTGAGCCATCTCTTCAGCCCAGGTCACATGTGCAGGAGGAGGGTGCAGCCCCGGAGCTCTGCCTTCCCAACTTCTACTTTCTCCCCCTTAATTGTTTTTACATATTTTATGACTGTCTACTTGTGGGATGGTGCCAACCCAACACTGCCAAAGAAGCCAGAGAGAATGGGGGAAGGGGGCGAGTCGTGTGTCTTGCTTTGCCACTGTCCATCTTCTGCTACTAAGCCCCAGCAATCCTGTCTCCATCTTGCTGGAACCCAGACCAACCACATCGGGTCTTTTTTATTCGGGTGCTGAAGATTCGAACTCAGAGCCTAGTACTTACACAGCAGGCTCTCATACCGCTGAACCTTTTCCATCCCTCTCCCCATTTATATATTTTTTCGTTCATCTTGTGAGTGCCTTGTGAATATGTGTGGGTGCCAATGAACAACTTGCAGGCAGTTGGTTCTTTCCTTCCACCAATAGAACTAAGGTCGAAAAGATTGGCAGTAAGTGTCTTTACCTCCTGAGCCATTTTGGGGAGGCCTCCTGCTTACTTTTTAAGCATGCTAGCCTAGAAATCCTGATTACCACAGGCAATGCACTCTCACCAGCATGTGACGCGCTGTGAATTCATTTCAGACCAGAGCAGCTCAGGCCTTCTGGCATGCCCTTGGTGGTGTCCCCCTGTAGCTCCTTCCCCGGTCACATCCTCACCCTACACCTGGCCTTGCTCCTCTCTGGAAGCTGTTTCTACAACGTGCACCCCAAAAACAGTGTGCATAAAGGAGGCCTTTGGAGAGACTGGGTGTGGATACCTCAGGCTGGGGAGTCTGGGGGTGGGGAGGCTTCCCAGCGCCCTGCCCTGCCCTGCCGAGCAAGGGGCTTTATTGATGCAGCAGCCAGCTGCAGGAAGGAACAGTGCCTCACGGGTGATGGGCTGTGCAGGGAACTCGAGACTGTGGGATCTCTGTGGAGGCTGGAGAGGAGTCTTCTGTATTCTACCGTGGCCAGCTGTCGGGGGTCAAGCGGCGGCACAAGGAAGCCGCGGGCCGCAGTGGCTCCGACAAGGGCCTGGCGAGGAGCAGAGGATAGGGAAAGGACCTGGGGAAGTCGCCAGAGGCCCCAGTGGCGGGAGACAGACGCTCAGATTTGATGCTGATCGGGAGCGTCGGAGGGGATGCCACTCGGCTGGGGGGACCCTCCTCACACAGGCTGCGGGCGCTGCTGGAAGGCAGGAAGATGAGAACTTACTGACCACGGGGTTCTGTGGGTCCCCTCTAAATCTCACAGCCCACCCACAACCCGGTCCAGACAAGTATCCCGACCACCAGGGGGCGCCCAACTCACCCTGGCCGGCCCGCGTCCAAGGCGTCCCTCGTCTGGGGCCAGGGCAAAGACTGTAGGGGGAGCGGAGCGGTGTCTCCGGGGGTGCAATCTGCCAAGAGAGGCTGGCTGAGTGGAGCTCCTGTCAGAACCCCGGCCCTCCCCGTGCCGGGACTCAGGGCTGGGGAGAGGGACCCAACGGGCAGGCAAGTCAGACGGGATGGGCGCACCTGCGGAACCTGTTGGCAGGAAGGCAAAGCTCCCCAGAGCCGGGCCCGGGGCAGTGCTGGAGCCCTGCAGGCCGCTGTACAGGTTCCTCTGCCGGGACAGCAAGGACAGAAAACTGAGGCCGGGGTGTGACCACCTACCTCCTCCTTTCCTCTCTCCCTCCTCTTCTTTCCTTCCTTCTCCACCCCCTCTCTCCCTCTCACCGAGGTGCCCAGTCCCCCTCGGGCCCCAACTAGGCCCGCGGGCAGATCTGTCCTCCGCCCATCAGTCGCCAGGTACAGGGGTGGGGGAGTCTTGCCGGCGAGGTGGCTCGGAGAGAAGATGGGGTGTCCCAGGCCTGGGGGAGGGGAGACCCAGGAAAAGAGGGGCGGTAGTGTCACCAGTAAGACTAGAGCCCGGGATCCTTCACCCTCCCCACCATGCTCATGCCCCTAGCGCTCACCCGGGGGTCGAAAGTGGGGAGGGCGGCTATGGACAGATGGTGCCTCCCCCAGCCCGCTGGGGTCGCAGCCAGGAGGGGTATGTGGGACCCGGTATGACAACTCTGAGACCGACATCGCAGGGGCCACCGGCTGTGAACAGAGATGTGGGAGAATGAGGCGGAGGGGCTGTGTGCCCCAGACGTCTTTGAGGATCGCTCTCCATTCAGGCCTAGACTCAAGGCTGGGGTTGCCAGGTTGCTGGTTCAGGGTCCAGGCCTCTCTCTGCGGATGTCGGATCATCCGAGGAATTGTGGCAGTTAGACTTGTTTGTTGAACTCCTACATGTCTTTCAAAGCCCGGGTCATAACGCACATTCCGCAGGGACTGACTTTTCACCCACCCAGTACCCAGACCGGCTACCACACAGGTGGCTTTCCCGCCTGGCCCTTCATACTACTCTCCGGGTTTCAATCTCAGACTCTGAATTGGAAGTGTGTTTGGGGTCGGAGGAATTCAGGGAAGGAACAAGGAAGCTCTCCTCTTACGTAGAGCAGAGGCAGGGGCGAAGCCGAGCTTCTGTCGCCTCCCAGCGTCCTCAGTAGCTTCTCTCTAGGCCCTTCTGGCCCCTCCTCCACCTCCAGCTCAGGCCCATCCAGGCCCATGCCCCTTCTCTTCAGTGTCTGTGGGAACAGCAGATGACAGGATGGGCCTTGCGGTCTTAGGTCTTACCCGACTCCTGGAACTTGGTTCTGGGGTACCTGAGAGAGGAGACCTTCCCCGGGCCAGTCTGCCTGGAGGGATAAACGATAGGTGTGTTCTGCTCCAAGGGGACCCCAGGGACTACAACCACAATAAATTCTCTGAGGTTGGAGTCCCCAGGTGTTTGAGAAAAGGTTTAGGAGATACCGAGGTCCTGTAGCCCGGCTGGACATTCCAGGGCCTGCAGGTGGCTTCAGGTACCTGCAGAATATCCGCGTTGGTGCGACTCTCATGCGGCTCGCTGTACTCAGTGTATTTGAGCAGCACCCGATCCATGTCGCTGCTCGCATACTGGAAGAGGCGCTGTGCGCTGTTGAAGATGATCAGCGCGATGTCGCAGTCACACAACACACTCAGCTCATAAGCCTTCTTCATCAGCCCGAACTTGCGCTTGGTGAATGTCACCTGCACCACAGAGGCAAGACAGGGTGTGGAGGGATAGGGGCATTAAAGGAGGGTGTCCCTAAGGGACTGCAGAGTGAGCTGCTTTCTGGCTTCTCTGCTTCAGTTTCCATATGAATCTGGAAAACCTCTCTGCGTGTTTGCAACTCCACCCAAGTGTCCAGTTCTTTTCTGAGAACACTGGGCCCCAGAAGCATAACCCATGCTTTCTGTCTCAGACTCCCCAAAGTGGCCTTGGTCTGGCTGTGCCCCTGCCACTTCTCCCAGTGGCAATGGGACCCGGGAACTCACCTGCCTGTTCCTTTGGTCTAGAATGCGGGAGATCTGGATTTTTTTCCTCCCCATTGTGCCTGGTTGTTCTGAGTGACTATTCTGTGAGAGAGATGAGTGAATGGAACACAGCCAACAGTACCCAGCTTCTGTCTTTCCCACTTGAAGTCCCTAAACCACAAAGAGGAGAGATGACAAGAAGTAAGGCAGGGCACTTAACCCAGATAGCCCCTACTGGGCATCAGCTGGATATGCTACATGCTCAATAAATGTAGTTACAACTTGGAAATCCATGCACCTCCACAACCCTGCACCCAGGAAGCCTAAGCAGGAGGAAGCTGGGTTCCAGGCCAACCTCAGCTTCACCTGGGAGATGGAGGAGTCCTGGATACACCACATACTCAAATGGAAAGGTCACCAGGATGTGCTTTGAGCAGTGGGCACAGATATGGAGGCTACTCACCGTCTACTGTGTGTTTTCCTCTGTGTGTGTGAGTGTGTGTGTAGGTACAGCCATGAGCATGAGTGAAGGCAGACTCTGTCCACCACATTGACCCTGCAGATGGAAGGCACTTGGGTAGGCAGCAGGTGTCTGCCAGCTGAGCTACCACAGCCACCTTCCTTCTTTAAATTTGTTTGTTGAGACAGGATCTCTCCATGTAGCCCTGGCTGTTCTGGAACTTGCAATGTAGGCCAGGCTGGCCCCAAACTCACAGAGACTCCCCCTACTTCTAACTTCAGAGCACTAGGTTTAAAGGTGTGTGCCACCATACCCAGCTCTTTTCTTTAAGTTAGTGAACTTTGCATAAAACTCGTTATTTTGAAGTACATGATTAAATGACATTTAGTGTGTTTTCCTATACTGTGCAATCATTACCTTAGTTTAATTCCAGAACATTCTATGATCATCAAGGCAGCAGTGTAGCTTCTGCTCCCTTCCCCCTATTCCTTCTGCTTCCTGGCTCTGTGGGATTCCCACATCTCCACACATAGGGTCACACACCATCTGGGCCTGGGGGCTGCCCACATTTTCCATTTTCATTGTGGAACCTGGAGGGAGCGTGTTCTGGGACATGGTTTTGCTAAGTAGTCCAGGCTGCCCCAGAACTCAAAATCCCTGTCTCAGCCTGCAGGGTGCCTGTAGAACAGGTGTGGTCACTATATCCCCCTCAGGAAAAGTGCGTGGCTGTGTTTTTTTCTGCAGAGGCTTGAGGAAAAGTCCCCTGGCAGACCTGGGGACTCCACCAAAGGGTCCACATGGGGACTTGGGAAGCCCTGGCCCCCATGATAGAGACCCTGGGTCTCCCAGGCTTCCAGGGGTTCTAGATAAGTCTGGGTTATGGTGAGAACTTATCTCAAATAAAGAAAACAAGACAGTTTCTAAGCTGGGTGTGGATGGCCAGCCCTCGGGGGTTGAGGCAGGAGCATTGCTGGAGTCTAGGAGTCTCAAAAGCAGGAGGCTCGATAGAAGGCTCAGCTGTGAAAAGCTTGCTGTGTGAATGTGAGGACCTGAGTTCCATCCCCAGCATCACTGGAGAAGACCACAGGTCTGTGGCCCTTGAACTTACTGGAAGGCAGAGGCGGGCAGATGCCAGCTGCAGTCCACCAGTCTGGCCAAAGGAACAAGCTCTGGGGTTAGTGCAGACAATGTCTCAAGGGTATAAAGTGGCTTCTAGGGAGAAGGTCCCAGGGGTAAGAGCTCTGGCTTCACAAGAGTGAGAAATGAGTTTGAATCTCAGACTCATGTGAGTTCTGGGTGCTTAGAATGGGGGCACAGGAGGAGCACTGTGGGTGGGGCTTGGTAGCCATGAGCCTAGATCCAGGTTCAGCTAGAGACCCTGTCTAAAGAGAATAATGTGGGAAGTGATAGAGCGGGACACCCAGTGTCCTCTGCACAACTGCACACACACAGATACACACACACTCAGAACACAGATAGATATACTCACACAGACATGCTTACACACACAAGCACAGAAAGCAATCGACCATGATATTCCGCATCAGCCTCTAGTTTCCAGACGCACACAAAGAGGAAAGAGAAGAGAGCTGGGGGTCCCCACAGGCCTAGGGTGCTACAACCTGCATACACGTCTGGACTCCCAGAGATCCAGACCAGCAGAGAGACTGGAGGGTAGGCCTGGAACGTGTGACTTAGAGACACCGAAGTAACTGGCCATTCTCAGGTAATCTGAGGTTTTTTTGTTTTGTTTTTCTTTTTTAATTTTTTAGGAGACAGGGTCTTTGTAGCCCAGGCTGGCCTCAAACACATTCAAACTGTGTAGCAAAAGTATGCCACTGTTTTGGGGATCAGGTAGCTCTATAGCCCTTTCATAATACAAAGTTATCTGTTGCCCACAGGGAGGATGAGACAGACACTGGGGCCCTTACCCCCTTGGGGACAGTCCCATCTACAACTCTGAAACCATACAACCTCTCTTGCCTCAGGGTCACATGGGCCTGAATTTATCTTCTAGTAGGGATTCGCCTCCCTCAGTCCCCACATTCTGTCCTGAGAGTTGGTGGGTGACAGGTGCCCAGGCACACCAAGCATGTCCAGTGCCACCCTGGGAAGGTAATGAGCTCCTAAGAACATGAGACTGGAGGCTGGAGGTTCTTCACACCTGTGATCCTAGCACTTGGGAGGCTGAGGTAGCAGGATTTCTGAGAGTTCTGGGCCAGCCTGGGCTACAGCGTGAGTTGCTGCCTCAATGAAACAAAGACAAGTGAGGTATTGTGTTTTTGGGCTGGGATTGCTCCCGTGGGTGATACTAGCCCTCCAAAGGCTGAGGCAAGGAATGTCTTTAGCTTTGGAGCTCCCAGCCAGTCAGACCTACATGACCAACATAGAGGAACTCTGTCTTAAAACAAACAAACAAAAAACCCCAGATATGGTGGCACATACCTATCATCTCAGCACTAAGCCTCCATTGAGGCAGAGGATTAGGAGTTCAAGGCCAGGCTCAGCCAAATAGTGAATCTGAAGCTAGCCTGGGCTCCCATAAAAAGAAAAAGTAAGGGTCCATTGAGCTAGCCATGGCTACTCCCTAGTCCCTAATCCAAGTGCCCTGGCTATGGCTCCCATCTTCCTAGGAGTCCTGCATATCTACCAGTGTGGAATACTTTAGTTGGCATAGGTGAGATGCTGTAGGCAAGCCTCCACCTTCTCTGAGCTGGGTTGGGTCTTCCAGTCAAGTCCAAGAAGCAGATCCAGGAACAGCAGGACCTACTCTAGCTTTTCTTGCTAAATTTAACCCCCTCGCTAATTTTACCCTTACCTGGAGTTGGGCCTTTCCCAGGGCTGGAATAGTGGTCAGAACCCAGGCAGGTCCCTGGAGGCTGAAGGAGGGCACTGGACCGGAGGTTTACCAAGATGACTCTGGAAATGTCCCCCCACCCCCTGGGTCCTGTGAGAACTAGGCCAGGCTTCTACCGAGACACGAGGTCTTAGAAAATCTGAGGGCAGCTCCCTCCACCCTTGAGATGTGAGGCAGGGATAATGGTGAGGGGGGACTGCAGGGAGGGGTACAGAAGAAAGGGGCTTTTTTATTTTCATTTCTTAAGACAGGGTCTCACAGCCCAGGCTGGCCTCAAATTCACAGAGACCTGCTTGCCCTGCCTCCTCAGTGCTTGGATTAAAGGCATGTGCTGCCACACCCAGCTATTCTGGGTCTGCTATTCTGTAGCTGAGGATGCCCTTGAATCCTTTGTCTTCCTGCCTCCATTTCCTTGAGTGTTTTGTGTGCTGCTAGGGTTGGAACCCAAGTGTTTACCCAGGTTCTGGGAATTGAACCTGAGTCCTCTAGAATTGCTCTTAACTGAAAAATCTCTTCAACCCCCTAATTTAAATTTTTAAATGTATATTAGTAATTTGGGTTTTAGTGTCAGACGGTGTCACATGCTGACCTTGAACTCACATACAGGTATCCACCTGCCTCTGTCTTCCCAGAGTGGAATTAAAGGCATATGCCACCACCCCTGGTCTGTGCATCAGTACATTTGTCTTCATGTATGTATTCAAAGCACATATGTGCCTGGTACCCTCTGGAGGCAGAGATGGGTGTGGGGTTTCCTTGCATGGCTGTTACAGATGATTGTGAAAGCCAAGTGAGTGCTGGGAATCAAATCAGAGCCTCTGCTAGAGCAGCCAGGGCTTTTAATGTTTGTGCTCTCTCTCCAGCCTCTAAATTTCAAAAGTTACTTATTTTGTGGGGACATGCCTGTCACAGAATGTGGGAGCTCAGAGGACAGCTTGTAGCAGTCAAGTCTCTCCACCACGTGGATCCCAGGGGTTGGACTGAGATCATCAGGATGATGACAAGCATTTTTACCCACTGAATTATCTCTCCAACCCCAATATTAATTGATTAATTAATTCTTTAGTTTTAAGACAAGGTCTCATTTTGTAGCCCTGGCTGGCCTGAAAAAAAAAATTTGCTATGTAGATCAGAATAGCCTGCAATTCAAAGAGATCAGCCTGCCTTTGTCTCCCCAGTGCTGGGGTTAAGGGCACAACTACCATCTCTGCTATTTATTAATTTTTATTTTTTATTTTTTGAGAAAAGGTCCAAGTTGGCTGATCCTCCTGCCTCGGGCTTCAAATGCTGGGATGACATTCAAACTCTCATGGGAAGCAGGAGGCTAGGTATGAGGGCCCAAGGGCTGGAGTTGAAATTCCAGCACCATGTAAAGAATCAAGCCTACACCTTATCTCCCATCTTCCCTGGGGAGGTGGGGGTAAGGCTTACTGCCCTGTAAGGCAGGCTGAATTGATGAGCTCCAGGTTTAGTGAAAGACCTTGTCTCAAATAAGGTGGCACATGCCTTTAATACCAGCACTTGGGAAGCAGTAGCAGGTGGATCTCTAAGTTTGAGAGTGAGTTCCAAGGACAGCCAGGGCTACAGAAAGAAACCCCGTCTCTGAAAAAAAGGAAATGTATGTAGAGTGAGGGAGGGAGGTACCCCATGTTGACCTCTGACCTTCAAACAACACACAAGAAAGAGACTGAGTCCCCAACCCCAGCTTCCCTGCACACTTCCTCTTAGACTTCCCCATTCGACACCCTGCCCAGAAATACATGAGAGAATGCAAATCTCCATTCA